ACTCAGCTTGACCTAAAATCTTGCTACAAAACAGGTTAAAACATTTCTCGGCTTTTTAATATCAGTAACTTACGGGTACCGCGAACTACATCAAGTAAACTGTTAGGGGACATTAGCGAAGAAGCGTAACCTAGAATCTTACATCAAAACAGGTTAAAATATTTCTCGGGTACCGCGAACTACATCAAGTAAATTGTTAGGGGACATTAGCGAAGAAGCGTAACCTAGAATCTTGCATCGAAACAGGTTAAAATATTTCTCGTGTACCGCGAACTACATCAAGTAAACTGTTAGGGGACATTAGCGAAGAAGCGTAACCTAGAATCTTGCATCGAAACAGGTTAAAATATTTCTCGGGTACAGCGAACTACATCAAGTAAACTGTTAGGGGACATTAGCGAAGAAGCGTAACCTAGAATCTTGCATCGAAACAGGTTAAAATATTTCTCGGGTACCGCGAACTACATCAAGTGAACTGTTAGGGGACATTAGCGAAGAAGCGTAACCTAGAATCTTGCATCGAAACAGGTTAAAATATTTCTCGGGTACCGCGAACTACATCAAGTGAACTGTTAGGGGACGTTAGCGAAGAAGCGTAACCTAGAATCTTGCATCAAAACAGGTTAAAATATTTCTCGGGTACCGCAAACTACATCAAGTAAACTGTTAGGGGACATTAGCGAAGAAGCGTAACCTAGAATCTTGCATCGAAACAGGTCAAACTTCTTTTGTAGAAAAATATTGTTTTTGGGTTTTTAGGAATAACATATATTTATTATATTATTTATTTACATGTCATGGTTTAAATAACACATTTTTATTTCTTTAAGTTATATTTTTATTTAAAATAAAATTTCTTACATTTAGCTAATACAACTACAAAAAACTAATATCTGAAATCTTGCTTGCTTTCCAGTCGAGGATGCTTTTTACGAGATTGTAGTGTTGCAGTCATAACTCCATCGCGATTTCGCTCTAATACGCGTTTTGATACGTTAGCCAGTAATTGAACATGTCTCTCAGTTCCCTGAATGTGGACGGGAATTTTAGGGTCACTCCATGGGCACTCATTGCTTTGTAGATATTGTACTAGATGTTCATGAGGTATATTTAGCGTGAAGGCTGGTTCGAATATATTTGAATAATCGTCCATATCTATCATATTAGTATAGTCGGTGCATTCGAAATTTATTTCGGGTGTTTTGTAATCTCTCAATTGCGTCAGGTCTTCCACATTATTACGGTAATATAAGATTTTTCTTATAGCTGAATCTCGTATTTCCTTTTTATTATCGAACAACATTGCTAATAAAATATTTTCCGAGTGAGCATAGTACGCGTTTTCTTTAGCAACATTGTTCACAATTTGTCTTAAATTCGAGTCTAAATATTGCGTCCAGCTAATAAATTTATAAAATAATATACTACCGTACACCACTTCACATCAACGGAGTTGTAATATTTAATGTTAAAGTACATTTGAATATATACTTTCATCACGTAGTTTGCCAGAATTTTCAAATTTTTGGATGGCTTATTAGTAGTTACATATAACCGAAGTAACCTACTAGCCTTTGTGAGCCATCGGGAATGTGCTATTGGCCCCGGTTTCTTGTTAGCTAAGTCTGTCGATACTTCTCCAGAAGCAACTGCTTTAGCTATTTTTATTAAATAACTTGAGTCAGTTGTCGATTCAACAGGACTTAAATCAGCCAAATTTTCAAGTGGGATCGTTTCAAAGTCTGTTACCGGCTGGAAGTAAATAAGAAAAAATAAATCATATTGAATTTGAACATAAAGTATTAACAAATAGTAAATATGTTATAACTCACCGGTATATTTTCGCATGTTTCAATTTGTTTGCTTAATATTCCGGTTTTTGTTCGTGGTCCAGTGGTCAATGATTTTTCCAAATAGTTAAATAAATGCCGAAGTGGAAGTTCGTTAAAGTGGAGAAGGCACACAAACCAATGAAGAGGCCTATTTAACTGAATTTCAAATCGACGTAAAATCCCATTTTTTACGCCTGTATTTGCTGGTTCACCATCGCAACATATGCCTATCAAAGAATCGAGAGCTATTCCTTTATCGGCGAAAAACTCGTTCAATTTGATTACTTTACTTTCTGAATCTTCATTTTCCAATTTTGTGTAACCCAACAATTGGCAATTCGGTTCCTTTAAAATAACTAAATGCGCTTCTTTAATCATTCGTGGGTGAAACTTCTTATCGATTTTTTCCATGGTAATAGAATCATTTTTTCGGCCGTCGAATAAAAATGCTATTAATTCAGAAGAATCATATCGTTTGAGTAGAGCTTGCCTATTTTTCTGCCTCTCACGAACGCTTTTATTTTTATCCATAATGACAGGATTGCCCCAATCATCCTTTATGTCCAGGTCTTTTAGGATTGCTGTCATCACGGCAGAACCAACTCTATCAGAGATTGCAAATCTGTCGCATATTAAGGCATAGTTTGGAGCTTTGTATCTTCGACTATATGGTCCACGTTTTATATGAGAAGTATTTTGTGAACTTTTCAAACTGCTTTTAAACTCAAAACCAACATCAGGAGTATATGTCTCACCTGGAGTAATATCGCTAGTTATTGTAGATGCTGATACTTTATCTTCAATTTTTATAATATATTCTGGTATCGTAGATTTCCTCTCATTATGTTGATCCATCATAAACGCTTGTAAGTGTGCTGGGATCAGTCCGCAGGAACACAGTATTCTTCGCAAATCGCATTTGCATTTTCCAATATAAAATAATTCTTTCGTGGATTCTACAAACTCCTGAAATGATGCTTGGGTAGACTTGCTTTTATTTGTACTTTTATATTTATCAATCAATCGGTTCAATTTTCTAGCGATACTTCGTTTCTCCATAATTGGAATATCAATTTTTTCCCACGTCTGAATCAATTTCGTTACCACATTTGGAGTAAATGTTTTATATGAAAACATTTTATTTTGTTTTTTTGATTCTTCGGCCAAATAAAAATAATACCTGATAATTTCCATACTTGTCGGAAGATTTACTTCAGTAAATTCTCCTGCTTCCCCAAATGTAATTTGATCATGCGAGCGCATATGATTCAAATTACTGGCACTTGCGCCTGAATTTAAATAAGAATTCGCCATTGATACTTCACGTCTAACTGAAGAACTGAATGAAGATCAATGCGGGTTTTTCACAATAATATATTCTTTTCGAAACTTCGAGAATTATAATAAAAAAATACTAGCGCACTCTGATGGAAATAAATAACAACAAACTAAACCCGATTTAAAAACCCCCGTACAAACTATCAATTAAAATATAACTCACAATTTGAATTATTCACATGCCTAAATTAATATATTAACTTATTAAAAACAGTATTTTATTGAAAATTTCGCTGGCTAAAGAGTTATTTGCGATATATGGTTTTGAAGTCAAAATTCATTTAAATAACACATATATTTCATATGAAAAGGTGCCCATATCGCTTAATTTTACTACAATAATGATTCGGCCCAACCTAATATATATATATATATATATATATATATATATATATATATATATATATATATTTAAGAGCCCATTCGTCGTCATAAAAAATGTAAAAAGTATTTAAAATCTTTTATTTATACGTTTCGACAGCAGATGCGTGTCATCATTCAGCAACTACAATAAAATTTGAAACATTTTACTAATAATAAAACAAATATACGTAAAATATCGTAAAATAAATATAAACATAGAGAAACATTATACATACCACCAAGACAAAAACACACAAAAAAAAATTAGAAAATTAACATTGTATAGATATTCGAGAAGGACATTTTTTAGAAAAATAATGATGAATAACCACAAAATTAAAACCATTTTGAGAAACGTTAAAACGTTTGTAACGTTTGTCTGTAACACAATACGACGCCTGAAACACGCCCATTTCAAGCAAACGACTCGACTGTTGTGTGTGCAATAGTGATGTAACGAATATTCGCTTTCGCATTCGCGAATATTCGCATATTTTTCGATATTCGCATTCGCATTCCTATTTGCAAAAAACGATGCGAATATTTAGCGAATGTATCTAACAAACAAAAAGGAAATTATTATATAGTTGCATATGAAATGATAACACAACTGATAAGATTTATATATTTTTATTTAATCATACTTATTTATTTTTCCATTCCACTATATATTTTCTAAGAATTAAATATGATAATGTAATATAAATTTAAAAAACCAAATAATGAATACTTGACTATTTGTAAATAAGCTTTTTACAAACAAAAAAAATATTTATTTCTATTTAAAACAAAAGTAAAGTTCTAATATTCATAATGTTAACATTTGGTTTCAATTGCACATTTTTTCACTAATTTTCTTTTTCTATGAATTAAAAATAATGAAATATAAACTACACAATTATAGTTTTGCTAATAACAAGTTGACACGGTTGACTATTAAAATTATTAAACTCGCTGTAACTTTAAATTCTTAGTTATTAAATTGAAGTAAAGGAATGTTAATTTTTAAAAATAAAAGTTTTGAAGCTCTTTCTCCGGGCAGCCTGTTTCGGTGAGGTGTGTAAAGAAGTCCAGCTCCACTGAAAACTCTTTCACTGGGGTCACTTGTGGGTGGAGTTACCAAATATTCTCTGGCTACAGGAGAAAGAATACCATATTTATTGCTATTAACTTTCCACCAAAGAAGTGGGTCTTCTTCATTTTCAATACGTTTATCCAATACATATTCATTAATATTTTTTTTAATTAAAACTTCTACTGGATTTGGAATTTCATTTTTTAATTCTTCCTCGCTTTTACTTAAGTACATCATCATTTTCATAGTTTCTTTTAGTGATACAGATTTTTCTGAAAGACTGGCTCTGGAGCCAAAGTTTTTCTTAACCTGATTAGTCATTTTAGGACGCTTTGAATTTGAACATGAAGGAAAGCTTAAGTCCTCATTTCCAATTAAATCCAAAATATTTTTCACGACCTGATCTTTGGTTGAAGGATTTTTGGTTTTCCAAGTGAGAAAATCTGATTCATTTCTTGTTTTAAAACGAGTATAGTTTTTCTAATGCATTCTTCAGATGCATCATATTCATCAATCACCTTTTCCAGGGTGGCCAATAACGGAATCACAGACGATATGGAAACATTGGCTGCACTTAGTTCTCGTGTTATTTCTTCAAAAGGTTTAAGCAATGTAATTAATTTTTCCACAACTATCCATTCTTCTGAACTTAGTTGTGAAATTTTGTTGTCAGTGGAAGCATAAAGGCACAGTGAATCTTTGTTTTTTAAAATTCGTTCTAACATGTAAAAGTTGCTATTCCATCTCGTAACACACTCTTGGATTATCTTAAGCTTTGGTTGATTAAGTTTTTCTTGTAGATTAGCATGTTCATCTTGAGCTACATTCGAGTGGTGAAAATGTGTTGCTATCTTTTTACATTTGTTAATGACTGCAATGATAGATTCTTGTGACTTAAGCCCTTCCTTAACACCAAGTTGAATTTGGTGCAATAAACAATCAATGTTTTTAATATTTAATAAAGAAATACCTTTTTTCATGTTAGTGCCACCATCCCTAACAATACATAATACCTTTTCTTTGGGAATTCCCCATGATGACAACATAGTTTCTAGCTTTACGGCTATATTTTCTCCTGTATGTCGCCCATCATTAAATACTTCAGATTTCAAAACAATCATTTTTCTTTCAAAACTTTTGGTAATTCCGTGACAAGTGAAACTTATCAGCGATACCCCAGAGCAAGAATCAGACCAGATATCAGTTGTAAACGCTAGTTTTTCAAATGATTCGATTAATTCCAGAATTTTATCTTTTACCTTGCCATATAAGTTTTCGCGAGTTTTTAAATTATACGAGGGGCATACTTGGTTAATCAATCTCACAAACCCAAGGCATTCCACAAAACTAAATGGTAAGTCCTACAGTGCAAGCATTTCGCCAATTAAATTATCCAGCTCCAAAGACTTGGTGTTGTTGTTATCCCATTTTTTATTTTTTTTTATGCAATCACTTAAAGATATTTGCTTAAGGTCGGTTTTAGTACACTGTCGCGAAGAGGACGCCAAAAAAAATATTTTAGCAGCACCTCGCTTTTCATGCTCTCTTCTTTTCAATTCGTCATTCATTTTTGTGTTTAGTTTCTAGGTGATTTCGCATAGGACTAGTATATAGTACATAGTAGTATATATAGTACATAGTGCGAGTACTTTTTATCACACAACTTGCAATTTACATTTTCAGCATCATATATTGTGAAATTCAAACTTTGCTAACACGTGCTTTACTCATGTTTTTATACCACTTTGTCACTTGAATATCAGTTAAATGTGGGAAATGCAATAACACCAAACTAACCTCAAATCAAAACAAAACTTATCGAATGAACTTTCTGTGACTAACTTCGTTCATTCAACCTGTATCGGCTCGGCTATGTTCAGTTTAAACATGGCCGACACGAAATGTCAAATATTTTGTGCGCGCTTTATTTGAAATTTAACATTCGCATTCGCATTCGCGAATATTGAAGATGAATACTCGCATTCGCATTCGCAAGCGTGTGAGGGGGAGAATGCAGATAGAGTGATTGAATGGATTTGGAGTCAAAGAGGAAACGTCAAAACATATAAAAGTTTGAACAGAACAAAAACCAAATTTATAATATTTATAAAAGGATAATGAGGAAAATTAATTATTGTTTTTTTTTGATAAAATCAGTAATTAACTAATAACTATCATGTAAAAAATGGGATGAATTGCGTTTATTGACGCAAGAGGAAAAATAAATTATTCTGCAAATCTTCAAGGTCACAATTTTTTTCGATATAAAGAATAATCGGATGTGAAGTGTTGAAAGAGTGATTGAGATTGAGCATATGATTCGAAAGCATCGTTTTGAACTGGTTTGGATTTTTTGAGTTATAAATATGTTGATTTACTCTCTTGAAAATATACTGGAAATTTTTCCCTATATAACACATATTACAATCATTGCAATCCAGACTGTAAACAGAATCGGTAACCCTATCAGACGGGGTTCTAGACTTAAGAACAGAAAAAAGGCAATTAAAAGTATTGTCGTAACTAAAAACTAAACGAAATCCTTCTGAAGAAAATAACTTTTTTAAGAAATAAGGAAAATTGCCTAAAAATGGCAAACAAATAATTCAAAGTCAAAACTGCCAGGGTGTAGTTTGAGATTAGGTTGTTACGATTTTAAAATTTTCCTGAAATTTTATAAAAATGTAGGTAGGTCATAGGCCTTATAATACTTATGGATTGCAGTTATATGTGTATTTATAAGGTCTTTAAAGTAGGTACATATATAAATAATTTAAACACATATTTATTTTTTATTAGCACAACATTTATTAACATAATGTACATATGACTTTTTATCTAGCCTGAATTTTAATGGACGGCACCAATCTGGAAAAAATAATACTTGCATTAATACTATTCACATATCATTATTAATATTTTTATAAACATTTACAAATATCAATTTATTTTATTAAAACAGTTTAGATTCATGCGCATAAATTATATTTCAGTTATGTAGCTGTTCAGTTATGTAGATGTTTTTCAAATCCTCAGATATTTAATAATAATATCAATTATATTAATATATGCATGTTTAAAAATTTACCAATTAACCCTCTAAATAAATTTTGATCGATTAGAGGCCGCTTACTCCTCATCCCAGTGACTGAGAAGTTTTTTAACTGCTCCCCATAAACGAGTAGCAGCACCACCTCCCTTACTACATTCATCCAGCCATTTTCTGTTCCATTTGCTTTGGACATTTGCTCAATATATATTTTATTTTTGGGAAGAAAGAATCCACATCCTGGAGATATTTCTTCCTACAGAATTAAACATATTTAGTCCTAGCATTGAAAATATCTTATAAAAGCAAGCATTTTATTCATTAATTTACCATGTTTTCTCCAGGAGTGTAGAAGCATGCTGGAATCTATAAGTAGAAAAAAGATTGTTGATTGGAACATAAATTATATCCTTAATTGCCTTATCTTTATTTACAGTGTGAACTAAAAGTCAATTTGCTTTTGAATGGGTCACATATGGAGTTTGTGTATCTTTTAAATAAAGAAAAAAATAAAAAGACTTACAGTGCACTCTGCATAAATATTACATGGTTTATGAAGAGAAGTTTAAAACTACCTTGAAATTATAATTTGATTCTATCATTGCACTTGATTGCATATTCTCGATCTTGTCCCTCATTCTGTGTTTTATATGCAAGCTCCAATGCAGCTAGCCACACACGTGCACTCCCTATTATTTCCGAGGTAACTAATTCAATAGGAACATGTAGTGATTCAATATAAAAAACATTATTTTAAAAATATTTTACTGTACCTTTAAAAGAAATTGTCAGAGGGACTGCTTTAACGTGGTTTCTGAGCATTTGAGTTCTGCTGATTTAGCAGAACTACAACTCTCTTCAGAGTCGCTGTCATCGATACTAATTATTTCCTGAATCTCATCAAGTGTAGACTCAGGAGCTCCATTAATAAGAAGCACGTTGCCTTGGTCGTCAACATAATCAATGGGTGTATTATCAAGTATCACATACTCCTGGTCAACATTAGTGAGGCTACTAAGTACATTACCACCATCAAAAATAGTTGACTTAACCCTCAGCCTGGCATCCATGACTTTTCGATTCGATAGAGCAACTATCTGCTCTACCTTTCGATTTTCTTGTAAATTTTCTTGAACAAATATTTTGTTAGCAGGAACATCTAAGTCCCCCGTCCACACTAACAATCATATTATTCAAGAATTGCATATCATCTAAAATTCAATATTTTCTGTTAAAAATAAATTTAATACATTTTATGAAATAATCATTGAGATATACATACCGTTAATAGCCAAAACCTTTGCTTCGCCTCTGCCTGTCTTAATATTATTGCCTTTTTTCCACTTTAATTTTGTGATTGCGTGTAAGGTAAATACTTCTCAAAGGAAATATATCCGTGCAACATGGATTTGATTCCAACCACAACACTAATACAAACATTTTTGTTCTAGGCATTTTCACACAAATTGAAATATAATAATTAAATTTAAATAACACAATTTAAACCAAAACGAAACACAACAAGTATACCACGCAAATGATGAAATCACTCTACCGACGCCAACGCCATTTTGCTATTCTCGGGATTTTACTATGTTTCAAAAACCAGATGTTGATAACAGTGTTGTGACTTTAGCGTGGAAATTTATAAATATACATTTGGTTTAGAATATTGGAAACACTTGGTAATCTTTATAACATAGTTATATTATTCACAAAAAATATAGTATTGGAAATTAATAGTTCTTGTATACGATGTATGTGTTATGGCTGTTCAAATCAGAGAGAGTTAGCCGGCTTCTTCTTTCCAAAAACCTGGCGTTCTGGGTTGCCATAGCAATCATGTTTGTCCTTCCCAAAGCCTCGCTGTGTTGCCAGAGCAATGATATCTGTCTTTTCGAACTTCAGGACGGTGAACATAAGTGTCAGATGGCACAACACCATCCCTCTTGGAAAGATTATAGTGCGACTAGGATTCAGTACTATAATCATAAATCAAATCACAAATTATTGAAATTCACATTTGCAACCCAGAAAAATAGAAATAGAAATAAAATATAACTTAGTGTCAAAATATAAAAACTTAAAATTATGAAGATTACATCTAGATAGTTGAACTTAATCTAAAACATTTTATTAACAATGGTAAAATAAATATAAATATTAACACAACTAATATATTACGTAATATGAACCTTTAATGATTTAGATCCACACAGCAAAGTATAATTAACAGGTGAATCTCTCGATTGAATCTCGTATGGACCAATTCATGGCTTAACTAATTTACGGGACTTTCCTTTAGAATTGGATTCATTCTTCAGGAGTACCAAATCTCCAACATCGAATTCAGCTTCTTTAGAAGACTTATCATAATTTTGTTTGGAAAGTTCTTTAGAAGAAATTAGGTTTTGTCAAGCAATATCAACAGCAGATTTTATTCTAAGTTTTATTTCTTCGGCATAGTTATCGAAGTTATATGGAGGAGATTGTGGTGTAGGATGTGAAGATGGAAGTTCGGGGTTATATCAAAACTTAATTCTTTCATAAGTACATTTATATCCTTGATGGCCGCCTAAAGGTGTGTGATGATACTTTTTGATAATTCTTAATTGATCCGAATGGGTTAGAGGGTCTGAAGGCCGATCGAATATGGAAACATTGATGTTAGAATTTTTAAAAATAAATCTGATCATAGATCGAATTTTGCCTTGCTTTAGTCTATCCTCTATTGGTAGGCAAGGTAAGGCCAGATCTTTTAAATCTAATTCTAAACATATCTCTCGTAATTTGATAAAACACTTAAATAAAATTTCATAAGTGGCTAAATCGGGTTGTCTCAATTTAGTTATTAAATAAAAAACATAATATTTATCATTAAACTTAATATATGCTACATCTCCTACTTCTCTACGTTGGGTAACTAGTTCATTAATATGGTTAAATTTGATCTTAAAATTATTGAAAAATGTATTATTACTATTAAAGTCCTGAGGTGAATCTATACAAAATGACGTCCAGGCAAATCCGTACCAATGTCACCTTGTGATAAAACCGCACCAATTGCTTTGC